TAAACACCGCGTCACTCGTGTCTGAGTTTCTACCGGGGAAGGAGAAAAGGACATTACTCATTTGCGTGACGATTTTACTTGCTCTGATATTGAAGATTACTTTATCTTAAAAAAAAAAAAGTATATATATATATACACTCAGATATGATTAGAAGATACATTTTTAACTTCAATTTTTTGGCGGCTCTTCCGACTAGGAATTTATCGCATGATCTTTAACAGGCAGGTCTAAGTGTATGTATAAGTGATTTGGACATTATAACTTTACAAAAGTCTTTCTTATTCAATTCCTACCATATCAAACTTTTAACTGAGATATCGTTTTCCTCACAGTTCTCGTCTCCAATCAGTTACATGAATCTATAGGTTTCTTCTTCCATATATACTGAGGGAAAAATTACCTTAAATCAACAAATATTTCTTTGTTGGGTGCCTTCAACATATTTATTTAAATCTAAATTCTCTTTATTTAAATCAAATATTGTTTACTTAAATCAGGTAAACAGTATTTGATTTAAATAAATATGTTGAAGGCACCCAACAAAGAAATATTTGTTTAAATCTAAATTCTCTTTATTTAAATCAAATATTGTTTACTTAAATCAGGTAAACAGTATTTGATTTAAATAAAGAAAATTTAGATTTAAGTAAAAATATATTAATGGCAACCATCAAAAAAATATTTATTGATTTTAAGATAATTTTTCCTTCAGTGTATATTGAGGAAAAGGTTTTAAAATTTATTTGCGGGATACAGAGGTTACTTCATAGCAATAAACTTTATTTCACAGAAATAAACCAAATTCCACGAATAAATTTTCCAATATTTTTTTCTCAATGTATACTAAGCAGAAAATACTTAGAAATTTATTTGTGCGATACAAAATTTACTTCTGTGAAATAGAAAATTCTGTGTGAAATTATTTCTGTGAAATAAATCTTATTTCACAAAGTAAATTTTATTTCACCGAAATAATCTTTATATCCCACAAATAAATGTTCAAATATTTTTTAGCGTTTTCTATATAAATTCAACGTGGCAGTCACGTGCGAAAATGTAGCTGGGTAGTACGATCGTGTCGATGGAATAGTTGAAAAACCGGGGAAATTATCCGATAGAGTTTGTAACTCTCGCTCGATCCCGTTCTACGACCCGGTGAATCCCCGTCCCGCGTTCGCGGGCTCTTAACGATGATTAATCCGACCGGAGGTCGCGCGTTACGTCGCCGAACACGCCGCTATTTTGACGTACGGCATATATCTCGGGGTAGAGAGAGAGACGACGGGGGTGGCTTGTGAAGCGCTGTTCGCGCGGCAATTTACTCGAAATGTCGGCCAGAAGAATCTCCCCTCGGTGCTTTTATTCGTATGCGCGCGGTGGCACGCGGCGAGCGAGCAAGCATGCAGCTTGCAAAGCGGCGGTCGCAGCTGCAACGCGCGAGCGAGCTTTCTTCTTCGCTTTGGACACGCGTCGTATTTCGGGATGGAAATAGCGCGCACGGGCGCGCACGTAACCTTCGGATTCTCGTGCAGCAGCCCGTAAATTCCAAAGTAACCAAACGATTATGCCGCGCCAGTAATCCCGATGGCATTCGGGATCTGATACATACACATGTACACAGCGCGCGCGCGCACACACGCACACAGGTGAATCGCGTGACTTAATATGTTACACGTTTCGAACGCTTGATCAACTCGGAAAACTTTCTCACTGTGAGAAATTCACACGTGATTCTTGCAATCCGTCGTCACATACATCCGTCATCATATACAAACATGTATGCGCCCAGATTTAAGAAGGATTAGGAGGTATGTACAATTAAATGCTAAAATTTACCTTGAAATGTGCCTTGGTATTCCAAAAAGCTCCGGAAATGTGTTGTAACTCATTTCAGCTGTTGTCTATTGACATATTAGCGCCAGTGCGTAACGGCGGCGTACTAAACTAGTAATTACATAAGTCACTCCTAAAATCTGCCACTTAAAAGCGGTGATATTATACCTACACGGGCCATACCACTTTCTCCTCTATCTTTTTCTCAATACACGTGCATTTCTCATTTTTTTACGTAATATTGTAAAACAGAATTAATTTAAAAAAATATATAAAAATTGAAAACAACTGCAGACGTAAAAAAATGTATACAAACGGACGATAAGACCCAAATTGCCGCAGGCCTAATTGACCCAAAACTTCGACTCGAGGGATCCTAGCGAATTTTCAATTAGCCTAACCGTTTTTAAATCTGTGACGAACACGCGGAACTGCTCCTACGTGAGAATCGTTATCGATGGCGGTTTCTTTTGAATCTTCCTTTGCGCGCAAGTCGACAATGGTAATCACGTAGCAAAGTCGTCGAGGTCCTTAAGGTAATAATCGTAGGATATCTTCCTCCCGCGCGGTCGTAAAGACACTTCCCGCCGTGGAAGTGCTGGCGGTCGCTGCGAAAGGACTCGCAGCGCGATTCGCAACACGTTGCGACCGTACGTAATACGCGCGGCCATCACCGGATGCGATCGGTCCGGAAGCGATGCGCCTTTCCACCGTGCGTGCGCGTGTTCGGCGTGCGTTATTCGGCAACGGTCGGGCAACGAAGGTCTTTCGCTTAATCCTCATCTTAATCCTACTACTGCCGTTTTTATACATGCGCGAGTTTTTATACATTTGTCGAAGGGACATCAGGAACGGGAATATATCTGGAAGGATCCTCTGTATTTAGTTGGCCATAGTTATGCAAAAATGATCTAATCCACAGAACGATAGTTCTTGAATTCTTGTTATCAATAAGTAGCAGTCCATATTCTTTCTCCATAAAATAAAAAAGTTTCAAGCTTTGGATAAGCGTCTAAAATCAATCAAGAAACAGTTTTTATACTAGTTGCGCCATTTTTTTATTGCGTTTTTTAAAGGGTTAACCTTGCGAATGAATATCCTCAAAGAGAAGAAAGTCGACCATACTTGATTTCTTGAACGATTGCGAAGAACCTCGGTGCTATTTATATTTTTTTAAATTGTGTATCAAATTTTTATCTTTTTTCCGAAACGTACTCCCCACATAGTTTGGATCATTCTCGCATAACTACTCGCCTGCATAAGCTCGTTATCAATTGCACAACAGAATAATTTATTCTCTTTACAGAAATACTGTAAAACTTCACTGAAGAAAAAGTTGACTCGATTCTATGTAGCAAGCAAACCAAATTTTTATTTTGATTTAATATTCTTGATTGAAAATATTTAATATTTTTGCTAAATTTATTCATATCTAAGACTTTGACGCTTATAATGAGCTTATAATAAATTTATAGATATATAAATGCTTATAATAAATTTATAGATATATAAACCTATAAAATGCTTGAAACAAATAACATTTCCTCGAATGCAATACGTATTTTTCTGTGTGTGCTAATTTTGAGTAAAACATTACAATCACAATATGTTAAAACATCTCACTTATTTTAAAATAGCATCGGGACACACACACATAAAATTCCCTAATGTCATTATGACAGTCAATGTATTAACGGTACACACGGTACATCCTGTCGTAGATAGAAGCTATTGGCTTTTTTGCTTCACTTCCGTCGCGCGCTTTGTTTACATTCTCAGCCAAATTGAGGAGAGAAAGATAGTGGGACGTAAATGCCGACCCAAAATATTCGCGTTAGTATTAATTTTGATAACTTCAGTCGAACGACATCCGTACAAAGTGTTTGTGTCTAACGCAACTTAACTTTCTGAGCCATACATTTTATTTCTCCGTGAGATTTCTTCAATTTTGGTATATGAGATTTTGAGGATATGGAATCTTGGGGTCGCTGATTACGAATTTGAAGTTAAAAAATTATAATTTTAAGTGGCGAATCCAGTAAATGGAAAATCGTTTGGCCACCGGAGTAAGTTGACAAAATCGATTATTTCTACTATCCTTTAACAGATTTCAGAATCACGCAAGCAGAGATTTCAAAGCCATCTTTGACATGTTTAAAAATCTTATTATTTAAAAAAATGTTAAAATTAACATTTTATTAAATATTACATTATTAATTTTATTTTTTACTGTGTAGTGTTTCGATGTGTCGATTCCTAAAGCTTGATCTACAATATGCTCTTTGTGTTCTGTTTCTTGTCTTCTATCTTTTTCTGGCTTAAAGCTTAAGGTTTGAGTCAGAAAGAGATAAGAGAAAGAAGCAGGAAACAAAGAGCATATTGTAGATCAGGCTTAATAGTTAGTTAAAGTGCTTTTCATCTGGGAAAAAATGTTTTCTCTTTTACTTCTACTCGTTTATAATAATTTAACAATTAAATGTTCAAATTATTTTTTACCTCTTTTAGTTCCTCACATTTATGTGTGAGAAAATGTACAATAATAACATAATTAACAGCGTGTTTGCCGATAAAAAGTTAGTTAAAATCACTAAAAGTAAAGAAAAGATAGATAAGACGTCAATTATGACTTAAAGGGTTAATTTGCAATTTCGGTGTCTCGCGTCATAGCGCGGCTCGTACGCAATCACGAGTGTACGCGTGTACACATAATCTCGCTCGCGCGTGTTATTAAATTCAGACGTTAAAAATTGCATGATTAAAAGTGCGAGGAAAACGCAAGAGGGACGACTGAACCGCAGTAATTTTCCCTTCGATAATACATTACCGAGACGACACGATAATAATTAACACGGGAGAAATCACCATCCATTTCTTTCTATCTATCTATTTATCTATCTTTCACCGGTCTCGTACCGCCCAACGAAAATTAATTTCACGCTAAGATCGCGTCAACGAACGACGACTACCGCGGGGCTTTTCATTAATAGGGCCGCCCGTGAGATTAACGTATAATTACAGGTGTCGGGCTAATTAACCGACGTTGTCACGACCGCGCGCTTTTTATGCCGGGCGCGTCGGCCGGCCGGTCGTCCTCGTCGTTGTCGATGTTCGTCGATGTCCGCCGGTCGTCTAATGGCAAACGAGTAACAGTATTTTTCTTGCGCAGTGCAACCCCGCGGCATCCGCGTGAGGAGGAAAACAGTTACGCGGCTGCTCACCTATGGCGAACGCCCAACAGGACGCATCGCGAGTGATAATGGCGACGGGGAAGCAGCGGACGTGGCGTGCATCCAGCGAAATGCGCCAACCTCGACGGCTTTTCTTCTCTGGTGAGTCTCTCGCTGTTTTCACTGTTCTTTACATGCGTTTGCCACGCTAGATCTCGCGGAACAGACGAATTGCGATTACAAATGTCACGTCATACGTATAATATATACAGGATCCCAGACTCTTCTCCGCAATTTTTGTAGGAACGGATGAAAATATTTATACTCGACGATTTAAACGGAAAATTCATTGAAATTCGTGTGATTTAGTTGTCACTCTGTTTTTTCTAGAGTGAAATTCTACTCTAAGAAATTTAGAGAATATTTTTCACAATTTGTGAAGTTTCCTTGAATCTTTTTTTTTTCTGAATGAAGTTTATATGCGTAGAGAATATTGTAGTAAAAATTATAATATAATTTCGGTACTCCCTAGGAATAAACTGATACACTATGATGGAAATTTATAATCATTTCTTTACTATGTTTTATTATAATTTTCGTAATAGAGTGCCAGTTTGCTTTCGGCCTATTAAAATTGTGTTGTAATCTTTACTATAATATATTCTCTCCGTGCATTAATTTTTATCATAAAAGACGTCCATATGCTGCAAAGAATGTGTAGTTATACACAAACAATGTGTTATTCACTGTTATCGTAAAAGCCGCCGATACATTGCAAACAAGGACGTTGTGTCCATATGGATGAGATTTTCGTGCGCAGTATGATCTTATCAAATCTATTTCCTTATCTGCTGCTAGATATTTAATTCCAAAGTACATATTAGGAAACGATTATTTTTCAGTTTTCCTTTTTGATGTTCAAAGGTCGAATGAATAGAGTAGCACACAAGTCAGTCATCATAAAGTTTGTATCTCACGAAATAAATGAAGAAGTATATTCTTCTCTATAGTATAGATTGCTTGTATCGTGTTTTAGTTAAATATACGAAGTGGCTTATAACAGAAACATCACATGTAGTATTTACGAGCACCTTTTTTCAAAATTAGACACGGTGAGTAAATTTTTTCTTGTCTTTATTTTTATTGATCTACTGGTTTTGGAATTTCTAGTCGCAATCCCACTTTAGTTGTGAGAATTGTTATAGATTTAGCTGATTTTTCCTATACATTTAGTCAACAATTACTGTAATAATTTATAAAATATGGTCTCATTTTATTCCAAATGATCTTTAGGATTGAGTTAAATTAAGTGGGATTAGTTGTCACGCATTACGAGTCACGTAGCTATGACGTGACTTACGCAAGAGTATGGAAGCATACGCAGTAATGTATTATGTTATACATGTCACAACATTGAGTCTACGTATAAGGTCCTACAGCGCGCGCTGTGATATGTATGATATTACATTTGTAGTTCGCAATTCTGCTGTTCAAAACTCACGTCTTACTCGAAATTGAAATCTAAACATCTCACTTCAGATAAATTTCAATAACAATTATTAATATTGGACTAAGATAAAATGTCAACATACTCTAAACAGTTCTATACTAAAATTATTTATGGAAAAATGATTAACATTACACACATACAAAAGGATATTTTTGCTCGGGAAATACGTTTCTGAACACAGGTTTTTCTTCGTTGAAAATTATATAAAATATGCAAGTAACTTATCTTTATTTAACGCAAGTAACTTGTCTTCATTGAATTGTACTTATTTGGAGATTAATTATTATTTATGTCAAAAATAAAAAAATGTTGCAAACAGGAATATCCTTTTCTCTGTGCTTATAAATAAAGATAAGCTTATTTCGTATCGCAAACGTACTTCTGACTCGCTTAAAATTTGTGGCGTGAATTTTCGAAACGCGTTTGAGAAACAGTCGCTAGCTGTGTCGGACTTCGGCCGTCCGGAATTCTTGCGCGATCTTTCGTGAATTCGTCGCGCGCCGGGTATACCCGGTAGTGGTCAATGAAAGCCATCGCCTAACTATAATGCCCGGATTACGCGGGAGTGCCCACAATGACTGCATTATAGTTATTGCCGAGTACGGACGCTGATGACAGCATTACCGTGATTGCCAGTTAACATAATGACCGTCGCTCCAGCGTCGTCTACCGACGACACGTACGGGCGTTTCTGGACACGAGGTCGACGACCCTTGACCCCGTGCTAAGCTAGATACGAGCGCGTTTCCTGAAAAGGAGAAACAATTGGCAATCGTCGAACGCGACTCGCTCGCATCAGGGAGAATAGAATAATGCCGCGCGCAACTCGCGACTCCACTTCTAACTCTGCCGCTCTCTTCCTCTCTTTCTCTTCTACGCGCGCGTCACTTCGGAGATCTGCAGGGTTTTAACCCTTGAAAACGAGCCTTACGTTTAAATCGCCAACAATGTCGCGGTTGCAAGTATTGCGCGATATTGCCAAAATTTCTTGGAGTAAAATTTTACTCGAAAAAATAGACTAATCATCAAGTCACTCGAATAGAATTCTTCACTCTTAATCGTTAAGTGAATATTTTCATTCGAAATTGACTACAGTTATGCAAGAATGATCTAACCCAGAAAATTGTAATTTTTGAATTTTTATTTTACCAATAACTAATTCATATGTCTTTTTACATCTTTTTACAAAACAAAAGATCTAAGCTTTTTATAGACGCTTACAATTAATTGAAAAAGTTTTTATTTTTTACTAGTTTGCGCTATTTTTTTACTAGTGTTTTTTTTACTAACTTTTTTACTAGTTGTGTTTTTATTATTTCTTTAAAGGGGTTTGTTAATGAATATCTTTAAAAAGAGGAGAAAATTGAACTTGACTTCTTGAACGATCGCGAAGTATTACCTATACTTTGTAAATTATATTTCAATTTTTCATTTTTATTTTTTTCAAAACTTTACTAGTACGCATACTTTATGTAAAGTGGATCATTTTTGATAACTACTAACTCTTCATAACTACTAACTGAGGAATAAATTTAATATATTTTACTACTGTCATATTTAATCGACTGAAACATTCACTCATATGAAGTCAGAATTCATTTCAAAAACCATCCAAGCTGGTGTGAAAAATTCACTCTTGCGATTTTTTGAAAGGTAGTATTTTTACTATCGCTATGTCGGGGAATCACATCGACATCTCGCCGAAGAGATGTCTCGCCTGTCCTGCGTTCGACGGGAGACTTCACCGTCGGAGGTCTCGGCGCGACTTTCCGGAAGCGTGTTTGGAATTTTTTTGCATAAAGCATCGCGTTCTCACGATTATCCCTGCGCGCCCGTAAAAAAATATATCCGCGTCAATGCGAGTTATCATCTCCGCGGAGAGACATTTGCCGGGAGATTGCGCGAGGATGTCGCGCTTAATAATTACAACATAATCGCCGCCAGCGCCTATTAATACGACACGGCTAATTGATAAGCGGCACTGATAGCAGCGTAAAATTGATAATTATGATCGCCCCGGTCGCCTCGATGGTACATAATTACACGTTTACGCGAGTCCTCCCTCGGCCGCGACTCGTATCTCCGGCCGATCGAGTGTGCCCCCGCGTAAAAATATTATTCGCCGCGGCCCCCTCTCCGAAAAAGAGGTTAGACGAATATACATCCCACACTCTCGCGTGCGCGCGCGCGCTTATGTGTGTGTATGTGACGCAATCGGCATTAAACGAGCGAGAAACGGTTTCGCCTGGCCCAACCGACCGCGTTCCACGAGATTCGCGAGAGAGATTGCAAATTGGACGATGGGGTCGCGCACTCGAGATAAATAAATACCATTGGGGGGCTGGAAGGCCCGTGGCATGCGGGTATCGTCGCGGCGATCAGCCGTGCGTGGTGTCGCCGCTGGAACAAATTTGCACAGAGGTCCTTATAGCTTCTTTTTGACCCCTCCTCTCCATCGCGTTACCCTCGACCCTTTTCCCGTGCCGCTTGACGAGGGAAAGAGAGGAGGGGAGGGGTACACGTACGTCGAAATCGATTGCCTCGCGCGCGAAATCGCGCGCTTAAAATAGACGAAAATAGGACGGGAGACACGCGATGATAAGCGCACCGTGTGACTGTATCGTGTCGAATCGTGATTCACGCTTTCAGAGATACTGACGCATACATGTACGTTCAGATACATTCAATTATTCTATTTCAATTATTATTATATATAGTTTTAGCACATACCGAGTCGAAATTTTAGCGCTATCTCGAGTCGAAATTTTGATGCTACTTTGACGCTCTTAAGGATAGTTTGAGCTTACTTAGACGATTTATTAGCCTAGGTAAAACCTACTTTGACGATATTGATATTCATTAACTTCTCTTTTGAACCTTTAACACTACCTTGTCAAAATTTTGACGCTCTTAAAAATAGTTTGAGTCTACTTAGATAATCTACAATCTAGGTAAAACCTATTTTGACGATATTGACACTCATTTCCGAGTCGAAATTTAGAACCTATGTTGAACCTTGAATTCTATAAAATATATATATATTCTATGTAGGAGCTAAAGCTTCAATAGAGGTTCGCAACTGAACCTACTTTACTTCCTAAGATCCTACTATTATACAACCTACTTTGTCGCTAAAGAAAGCGAAAGCGGAACATTTTAGACATCATCAGGGTCAAAATAAGAATAAATTATATCATTAGAATTAAACCTACTTTGCTATCTTAGCTCCTAATGCGGTATAGAATTTAAGGTTCAACATTTCGACTCGGGATGTTAAACCTTGAATTCTACAACGCAGTAGGAGCTAAATTACAGCAAAATAGACTTAATTCTAATAATACAATTTACTCCTACTTTGGCTATGATGATGTCCTAAATTTCCTTTTACACTTTTCTCAGCGTTAAAATAAGCGTTGAATGAAATAGTGAGACTGAAAGTAGGAAGATTTCGACTCGGATAAGTTAAATAGAATTAAAAGAAGTTGATGTAGGTTTCAAAGTATGAAAGTAGGTGTTGAGTGGAATAATAGGGCTAAAAGTGGAATCAAAATTTTGACTCGGGATTGCCCACAAAGATACAACGAACATTACTGTGAATAAACATTTCCCACGAAATTCCACAAGAAAGAGAAATTTCGTTACATTTGACATTTGTCTCTCATATTTTAACAATTAAATTACTTCTGATTTTAATAAATTCATCATTTCATCCTCGAAGAAGAGTTAACCTTTAGACTGCCGGGAAAGCCACTTTTGTGGCTTTACACAAATCTGAAAATTCTGTGCCATGTTTGTTATTTATATAGAAAAGTTTTTGAGAAAAAAACTACTTTTTTAATGAAAAAATGTCGGCAGCCTAAAAAGATTAACCTTGAGTGAAGCATTCACTTTTGCAATTCCGTCTAGTATCACCATAAAGTTTTAC